AATTTAATTGAATGTTTGCTATTTGAATGGTTAAATTTTAATCATATGCAATTATTTTTTCCGTCTCAGTGTATTTTGTCTAATTTGATTTTTTCGAATCAAAGTGGATAAACTTTGAGTTTTAATTACTCTCAATTTGTATTATTACATACTCTAATTTGTATAATGAAATAAAATTAAGTAATTAAAACTTTGAGTTTTAATTACTCTCAACTTTGAGTAATTAAAACTTTGAATTTTAATTACTTTCAATTTGTATAATGAAATAAAATTAAGAAAATGTTCAACAAGGTAAAACTAATAAAGTCACTTGCATGCAAATATAACATATGATTTTTATCTAATTGAAGCTTAAAGTTTATCTAATTTAAATAAAAAAGTCAAATTGGACAAGTAACAGTTTAATTTGAAACAAACGGAGAAGATTGATATATGTTGTGTTACGTATTAAACTCTTAATTACCACAATATTTTTGCATAAAGGATTAGGCATTAAGACCAGCTCATTTTCCCCATTTATATATTCTTAATATCTGTATATAAAAAAAGTAATTTACGCCAAATTTGCCAGAGTCATCCCCCAGCTTTATAATTTTTCGTTCACACCCCCTCTACAAAACACTAATTACAGTTACATCCATCCCTTTCCCGCCTAATTTTGAATAATAATAGGGAGTAATAATAATAATCACAATCGAAGCATAGAATTTTAAAAATTGAATTTTAAAAAATTAATCATCATCTTAAAAATTCAAATGTAATTAATTAATTATATATGCTCCGACCAGATTAGATTGTGTACGGCGGTGGCATGGAGGCGCCCTTGACGAGGCCGCAGAGGAGCTGGTTGTCCGGCAAGTTGTACTCGTCCCTCAAAGATCTCGCCGGAGAAAGCACGCTGAAGTACATCTGCTGCCCCAGGTACGTCTTCTCCCACATCTCCGATCTCAGGTTCCACATTCCGGCGTTGTCCAGCGTCGTCATCACCGCCGCCCACGAGTTGGGGTACACCTGGATCGTGTGCCGGCTCACCGCGTCCACCAGGTTGTAGTTCCTCCTCTTCTCCGGGCCCCACCTCCCCGCCTCCATCCCCACCGCGAAGAACGAGTACCCGTCCAGGTGGTACGTCTGGATGCTCCGCTCCCGGTTCTCGAACACGATCTCCACGAAGTTGCGGAACGTGGCGTTGGC